ATAATGTAAAACAAGAAGATAAAGGAAACAAAAACAAATAGCAAGGATAATCAAAAACAAATAGCAACATGATTTTGAAATGCAATCATATCAACCGCCATACTGACTGTAAATGATCTAATATCCCAGATAAAGGACAGTAATTATTAGGTAAGGAAAAGGAGGAGAAGGAAGACCTAACCCTACACTGCTGCCAAAATATTTTTTAGGAAGGTTAAAAGCAGTAAGTATGGGGAGCCATATGTGGGTCAGCCCCTTCCCATGAGTCAGCACCATTCACAGACTGCAGGGGAAGAGAACAAGAAGCCAGTAAGAAGCCAAGCCCTCCTTGTGAGTCAGCACCATGCACAGCACACTGGGAGGAGAACCATATGCCAGCTCTTTCCTGTAATCGGTGTCATTCACCATTCATCGATTGCAGGGGAGGAGAACAAGAAGCTAAGCCTCCTTACAAGTCAGTGCCATGTGTGGACTGCTAGGGGGAGAACAAATGCCAGCCCCTCCTGGCATGTAGGTTGGGAGACAAGAAAAGCCAAGGTATCTGCCCCCTCCTGGAAGTGACCAGCTGATCCAGAGAAACACAGCCTTCAGTGATAGCCACTGTGCTAAAGTACAACTTAATGCTTATAGTGCTTAGTGTTTCACAGACTATACAGGTCTAAAGCATCATCTACTCAGAAGATAACAATTTGTAATGTAGCATGTATGGGGAAACTCCTTCTGAAGGTGGTAGCCATTTTTAATTCCCTATTATCTTGTTTTGAAGTCCTGTATCATTTTCATTGTTTTATTTGGTTAAGTTTTATTCTATTTTGTCTTGTTTGATTATATTCTATCCAATGGCATGGACAGCTATCTCAAAGATAACAAGATATATTATGGTAGCCATTTTGGATTTACTATTATCTTGTTTTAAAGTCTTTTATTGTGTTGTTTTATTTTTATTGGTTCTATTCTGTTCTGTTTTGATTTTTACTATGTCTGAAGGTATGGATTTTCTGTTGTCTTGTTTTGAAGCCCTGTGTCACACTGTTTTGTTTTGAGTGGCTTTATTCTGTTTTGTTTTGTTTGGTTTTATTTTCTTTAATATAAAAATTACCCAAAAAGTAATGTGTGAATTAGGTAAGCTTATCCTATACTGATATAATTTAAAAGAAAATAAAAACAGTTACATTACTATCAGACAAAGAGTTCACAGCAAAGGCAATTTTACAGAAATGAAAAAGACAGTTTCATAATGATGTAAGATTTGATTCATCATAAAGACATAGAAGTCATGCACACTTAAGTATTTAGTGAGTTTCAAAACACATGAAGCAAAAACTAAAAGAGCTGTAAAGAAATCCATAATAATAGTTAAGATTTTTAGCCCCTCCGTTAGTGATAAAATAAGTAGACAGAAAATTAGTGAAGGCACAGAGGACATGAGAAACACCATCAGCCAACTTGATTTAACTCATACTTGTGGACTACGCCATCCAACAATGGCAGAATATGCTTTGGTTTCACATACCTACAGTCTATATAAGATCATATTAAGGAACCATCTGAACTTCTCCCACTTTCCTATAATCTATCTTCCATTTTTCTCTTCACTTGCACATATATACACTTTGAATTTCTCTTATAAGAGAAACCATGCAATATTTAAGCTTGTAAGTCTGACATATTTCACTTAACGCTGTTTTCAGGTATATCTATTTACCTACAAAATCCTCAAATTTATCTTTCTTTATGAAAGAGTAGTACTCCATTGTGTTTTTGTACTATTTGTGTTTGTCTCTCTTTTGTAAGAAAGAATTTTTTGTCTCAATATCTTATACTTTGAGTAACTACTTTGAAGATAATATATAGTGTATTAACTATTCAAATTTTCTCATTATTTTGTTGTGACTTGTGTTTTATTTTTTCATGAAATAAAAAATGTCATATTGGGGACCATTCAAAAAAATCTTAGTAAATTAAAAAGCATTCATGTTACACAAAGTATTTAACTGTCTTGAAATTAAATTTAAAAAAGAAACAATAGAAAGAACTTTGAAAAAGTCCCAACATGTTGGGGAAATTGAATATATTTCATTATAATTCGTAGATAAAGAAATCAAGCTATTAATATACACTTAAGATAATCAAAAGTACATATAAAATAAGTAAATGAATCTGATAATAACAATTTGAGGGTGTTTTTCCATACTGTATTTCTCATAATCAGAAAATTCTCCTGAGACAAGACTGATAACTATAGTTAGGGAGTATACCCAGTATTTTAAGTCTAAGATGCAGTACAAATTTTAAGCTTGATGACAGTGTGAAGCTTAAAAATCTTCATTGAAACAAAGGAATAGCATCAGTGTCACTGCCCAACTCTCCCCAACTGCCATGAAGTCAATCTTTTTACAGCCTTTTCTGGTTCTCTATTTGTCCTCTCTGAAAAATAATAAACTTGTGGTACTTAAACAAATACCCAACTCTTACCAATTTCTAAATTTATTAGTCAATTTCATCACAGAAACAGAGTTCAAAAAATTAAAGTTACCATAAAAACCCAAAGGCCAAGACTGAGCAATTCAGCTCTTTTTAATGATGCTGAACAGTAAATACATGACCAGAAATATAAAATATTTAACATCAAAGGGAAATTCAGAAAGTACTAATGGCCTAAGGAATTGTAGACTGTAACATTCACAAGAGAACATGACAAGAATCCGAGGCTCAAGAGAATAAAAGCCAGCCTTATAGTGTATTTGTTTAATAAGTCACTGCAAATTCTCTGTATCTGGACAGTCAGAGTGTAGGACTTCAGCAGTGAAAATGTAATAAGATATGCTAATGCTGGCACGGAAAGTCTAAGCCTTCCGTACCACTCAGGTGGGTAACATGTGAACATAGGAATATTCTTTTCATTAAAGGGGGAGGGACATCGAGGAACTGCCGAAGTCCTAAAAATTGTCTCTGCTTTTACAGAAGCCCTAAATCAGGGAGCTTAGGGGAAGCTTCCACTAACAGAGACAACTCATTGACCTTGGCCGGGTTTGTGTACCGAAAACATGAATATCTGTTTTAGGGAAATGCAGCAAGCAAAGTTCAGGGAAATCAACAAATCTGGTAAAGATGGATTTGAGAGAAATTTCAAATAGAAACTTTAGAATAGATCTTAGGGGGAAAATGTCATGATCCCGTGCAAAGCACCAACTTTAAAATAAGAAACCCCCAGTTTCTAATGCCAGTTCTGCCACTTTCTAGACTGAGAATTTAGGATCTTAGGCAAGTTTCTGGTTTATTCAAAGCATTAGTTTACAAAATGTTGAGAATAGAAATCTCTTCCTCAGAGGTTGATGTAAGGATTTGCTCATGTGCATACCTACCTAAATTTAGTGCTGAGTATATACTAAGGCCTGACCTAAACAGTACTATTTGTTTCTTTTGTGGTGCTGGAGAGGGAACCCAGGGCTTTGCACATGTTACGCAAGAATTCTACTGATGAACTAAGTCCTTAGCCCTAAGTTGTGCCAATTAAAGATAATTGAGACTTCTTTTCCTGAAGAGCCAGAAATTGCTGACTAAAACTGGGAAATGAATACAAACTTATTTTTATAAAAGGAGTTGCAGATACATGAGAAAAATCTAATTTACAAAAGTTAGAATTAAATTGCATTGTTTTTAACTACATGATAAGGCTATGTTAGGCCTTCCCCAAAGATGATCACCATCAATTCCTTCTTTCGGTGTGTGATTGTGTGACACACACACACACACACCATCAAGGAGAGTCTGCCTGACTTTCCTTTCACTTAGATTGACCCTGTAACTTGGGGAGAAGCAACTTTGAGTTGGATACAGTTCTAGCCTTTTAGAGGGTTATTGCTGCTATTTTCTCTCCCAACGCAGTTGAGATGCAAGCATTTTGACTCACCCAGGCCACCGTGATAGTAGGAGACCCGGCTATGCCTCATGAGGTCACATGGAAAGACACCAAAGCATACAACACTTGAGTGAAGGTTTCTTGGAGTTTCCAGCCCAGGCATGATGACAATTGAGTGCAACCAAGTAAATAAACCTAGCTAGTGGACACCTTGTGAGGCAGAAAAATCACTTAGCTGAGCCCCATCAGGCCACAAAATCATGAGGAAAAAGAATCACTTTTTTGTTTGTTTTAGGTAATTGGCTACTAAACAGAAATTATATTTGCCAACTGCTTTTCCCCTGGAGCCTAAGAGTATCACAAACTTTTAATTAATCAAATTGGCTTTGCTCTTTTTCTTAACAAGTTATTGGTGTGTGCACTGGGAGCTCTGATTCCCAAAAAGCCTTCTTTGCAAAACTCCCAATTCTCTGGTTACCTGCTCTGAAAAGGGGGTACAACCCACAAAAACAGCCAGAGAGCCTCTGCGAGAAGGGTGACTCTTTCCTTCTTACACATGGAAGAATTTTTTTTAACTTTGTCAGACAGAACCCAAAGAAAAACAACTTGCGATTTATGTCTCACATTCAGGAAAGCCAAATTTATTACCAAAAACCACTTTGCTAATATTTTTTCTGTGTCTATATAGAATTGATATTTAAGACACAACCATAATCAACCTTTTCAAATGCATAACTTCACTGGGATTTGATTTATGGTTTAAAAGTATGCTGGACTCAGAGTTTTTTTCCTCTTTTGTGAATAGTAAATTAATTACTCTAACTACTGGCCAGTGCTATGATGCTAGGAAATGATTCTAAAAACACAAGATAATTCAATAGACACAGAGTCCTTGAAATGTTTCCATTTCTCCTTTATCATTTTCTTTCTTCCCTTAAAGTACGAGCTTTTCTTAGTCTTTAAATGACTTGACTATATTATTAACACCTTCAATTATGAAATAAAAAGCAGCTTTTCCAATATCTTACTCAGAATTTCTTTCTTGAGTCTCCCCTTTCCCACATGCTATAGCCAAAGACTGCGTGAAACATAATTCTGGACATAAAAGCTTTCTGGGGCTTCAACAACATGAACTCACCTCAATTAATCACGTGAAAATATTTTTCTGATTTGTTGTGACCTCACTGAAATCACCACACCTCTTCCTAGTCACAGTTCCAAGACAGGTATTTACCAGTTCATTCCTCTTACTCCATCATTTATCTCCATAAAATAAAGTAAGTTCTAAATTAATCAAAGTATAAGTAGCATTGGTGGAAGCCAGAAAGTCTTTGCCAGTGGAGTGAGGAGCTGTGCTGGTAGGTTGAGGGTTCTATACTGGAGCGGAGAAGTCACACTTAAATAAGAACCAGGGATGCCCTGAAAAGTACAACGGCCATCTTCAGTGGCACAGAGGCCCGAGCTCCTCCATCAGTAAGAATAGTTGAGTATGTGCCAGAAAGCCAGTGTGATGAGTTCATCCTGGACATTAAACAGTACATGTCTTCCCTCCAGAGCCAGGAAGTGATGCGCGATGTAAGAACCAGAGCTCCCCCACAGTGAACCACAGCCACTCTCACAAACAAGGCCCCGAGCTCCTCCACTGACAATGGTTGAACTCACGCTGGGGAAGCTGGTCGTGAGCTTCTCCAGGAGAGCCAACGACTCAAACAGCAATACTTGGAGAATCCCACAATGCCTCACTTGTAGGCTCCATGTCTCTATTTATGCTGGCAACTTTCCTCAGGTGGAACATCTACGCTCAGCACCACGCTGATTTAATTCAGCTGGTGTTAAGTTGACCACCAGTTTTAATTCATAGCAGTGAGTTTTTCAGGTGGGTGCAGAACCAACCTTTCAGACAAGACTTTCCATCTTACCAGACAGGGGACTAAAGGTACAATGACTAACACCATTTTATTCAGCAAGACTATGTCCAAGTGGTGCATTTTCTCATTTAACTCTCACAACAACCCCAAAATGGTTACTATTACTCACCGCACTGTATGGCTGAGGAAATAGAGGGTCAGAAAGGTGAGATTTGGCCAAAACCTACACTGCCCATGTGGTGAAGAGTCACAACTCCAAATAAGGTGTTTCAGCTGGTAGCACCTGTGACCTCAAAGGGACATGAGCCAAAATGTAGGCTTCAAGCCTTCCTATGGCATCTCATCTCCAGATCCTAGCACTGGCCCTAGGCACTAATGCAGGGCTTCTTTCAGTTGAGAATTCCATAAGGCTGCAGAGAAACCTGCAGTGGAATGAGGGGCCAGTGGAGATTAGTGGAGAGATGGGACTAGAGAAAGCTGGGGAACACATGGAAGAAAAAGTGCCTAAATCAGAGCTACCACCAATGCACATGACACTGAGGTTCTCCTTGTCCTCCTCCTAAGCCTCCCTTGTCCTCTGTACCTGCACCCCTAAGTCAGCTCTAGGAAACCTTAGAGGGCCTACATGGTTCTTCTCATGTACCATGTAAAGCACAAGCTGAAAACATTGTGTATGCAGTGAAGTTCCAGAAAATGTTTTTACATAGAGAACTGGTCAGGTTCAACACACCTTTAGGAAACAGGAAGTACAGAAGAGGTCTTTAGGCAAAGAGATCATTGGTGAGTTGTTGCCTGTGATCGTTGTGTTATGTCAACTTGATTGGAGTAAGAAACACCTAGCGGATTAGTAAAGCCCAGTTCTGGGTTTGTCTGTGGATGATTGACCTGTAGGCCAACAAACCGAGGAAGAAAGGACCCACCCTATTTGCAGATGGTACCAACCAATGGGCTTGAAGTCTGGATGGACTAAAAAGGAAATGTGCGTGTTTTGAAGAGTTCCGATGTTCCCCAGCAAGCCTGTTCTTTGCTGCCATCTTTTTTACATGAGTGTCCCATTTCTTCAACCACTCAATGTAGGTTTGCACCAGCAATTTCCAAGCAAGTTTCCAGACCGCAGACTGCTGCTGCATCCTCTATCCCTCTTGTTATGCAGTTTCCCTCTTGGGCTGAGCAACTACTGGATCTTTCCATCTCCAAAACTCAGAGAGCCATTGTGGATTCTCTCACCTCTGACCCTGCAGTCAGCCATTGTATATTCTCCTATCTCTGATTCTGTAATCCTCACTAATAAATAAATCTCCAGTCTTGAATAATTATACGTGAATTTCCTATTGAGTCTGTCCTTCTAGAGAACCCTAACTAATAACTGTCACAGTGATGGCAAATCTTTTATTAGCATTTTTAATAACAAAGAGCCCACTGCAGCATGAATGCCATAGGGTTATCACCACTACATTTCATAACCAAGAAGGCTCAGACTACAGAACCAAGAAGAAGGGACTGAAGAGGATGGAGCAGCTCTGAAAGCCAAAAATTAAAATGATGGTGAGGCAAGAAATTAGGGTGTGGCCAGTCAGCTGGGCGAGTGGGTGTGATCTGTCAATCATGGATACACAGGACACTTGTGAAACACAAGAAGTTTCCAAGCCTATACCTGGGACCGAGCAAAAAATGCTCTCTTCAGTTCTTCTGGTACAAGATCAAGCAAACTTTGGATAAAATGGCTGAGGCCTAACGAGTGGGATACAAGATGGCTGCCATGTACCTCCTGGCCTGCACTCTCTCTTTCTCAGTGGCCCATTCTCGCTCTGCAGAGCCTACTTCTTTTCCTATCCTTAATCAATGTAAAACTTCACTATCTTTTCCACAAGTCTTGTCCAATTCTTTGTTCAGGACAATGAGAACCTGGAAAGAGCAGCGAGCAGACAGCCTCAGAAGCAAGATGTCCTCAAGCAATGTAAGCACCAAGATAAAACACTGCTGACAAGTCAAGGGGAAGAAGAAAGAAAAGCACATGTCCTGTGAGTTAGTCTGCAGGCAGTTACTCATGACCTTGAGAAGGGTCATATCAGCGGGATAGGGTGTCAGGGTCAAAACACAGGGGTTTGCAACATAAATGGGAAGTGAAGGTGTCAGGCATAGACAACTGTTCCAGGGAAGTTGCAGGGTGGGGTAGGAGAGTGCTTTGTTTTATTTTGTTGTGCTTGGGATCAACCCCATTATACTCTCTCACTAAGCTACATCCCTGGCCCTTTTCATTTTTTATTTAAGATAATGACTCACTAAATCACGCAGGCTGAACTTGAATTTGCAGTCCTCCTGCCTCAGCCTCCTGAGTAACTGAGATTACAGGCATGTACCACCACATCTGGCAAAAAGAGTAATAATTTTAAGACAGTCCAATTTAGTAAGGGGGGGTCATTTGTTATATTTCAAATTTAGAATAAGAGCAGAAGAGAAGAGCTATCATAAAAGGGGGATAGACTAAAATCAAGATGGGGGAAAGAAACAATTTCTGGAAAAAATATCAAGACATAAAAAAAATTGAGTGAGTGAAGTTTGGAAGAGAGAACCTTTCTCTGACGCAGCATGAAAAAGGGATAAGAGGAAAAAACAGGCAGGATTTGGGGAAGAGAAATTGAAGGTATATAATAAAAGATAAAGTCACATCCACTGTATAAGTTTCAGAGTGGGCATTTGTGTTAATGGTATTTGCATGCAAGTGGTCGTGGGAAATGATTAGGACTAGGTGAGGTCCCATGGTGGCATTAGTGCCCTTACCAGAAGAGGAAAAGACTCCTGAGCTGGCACTTTGCTCTGTCTCACCCTGTGATGCCCTTTGCCATGCTGAGGTACCATGACCCTCACAAGATGCTGCCACTGTGCCCATGGACTTCCTGACCTCCAGAACCTGGGAAGGTTAAATTTTTATTTCTCAAATAAACTTTTATTCCTTTTTTTCTTGTAATGATTCTGGGAATTGAACCCAGGGCCCCAGGGCCCCTCCACCACTGAACTATATTCTCAACCCTTAAACTTCTATTCTTTATAAATTACCAGTCTGGGGTTTTAAAAGCACTATTCAGATATGATTAGTGATCTCTAAGACACAAACCGTGTCATATATGGCCAAGTATCATTTCCTACTCTAGATTGTCAAGATTTAAGTGTGGGTAGGAGGTTTCTATAGTTAATTAACTTACATAACACTGACTTTCAGGACCTGCGTGTGTGACCAGAATAAACTGGGAAGTCTCTAAAATAGGAGAGATATGCTGTAGCCCTACCCCAAGAGCCTCAGGCTGGATCCTCTGGGCTAAAATCCAGGATGGAAGAAAAGTTTCCCAAATGCCAATCATTTTAACCCATTTACATGTCATCTCTCAACACCTCTTGAAATTCCTATCACTTTAAGTTCAATCTAATGAAAACACAGCTTTACTCTAAGGGAGAAGAAACAGGTTACATCTACATTTATTTAGCTGGTTAAGACAACCAGAGGCAACTACTGATTTACACTTTTATCTCTGCCTTTTTATACTTGATTTAAATATGTTCTGTCTATTGCTCTATTGTTTTGAAGAAACTCCTCTAGCTTCCTGGCTTTTAATCAGTCTTTTAAGATACCTGTCATCTCTCATGGACTGCTGAGGCATTCTGCTTTGTGCCTATGAAAAGTTTGAGGGTGAGTTTTTCTCCCTTCTAGGTTTTATCCTCTGCAGCTAATGACATCAAGGAAATTTGTACTTTGTTTTTTTATGAGGCTTCTTTGGAAGTGTGTGACAGTGCAGCTGATGGTCTGGTTACAAATTGAGGAACTGGGCAACCTTCTAAAACCACATAATTGTAATACCTAAAAAAAAGAGATCCAAAGTACACATAAAGTGGCAGCTCCTATACACAATTCAGGAAGTTTCTTTCCCTGACAGTTTCCTTCAAAAATGCATAAAAGCAACTAACCTTTATTATTCACAAGAAAAATATAAACATACAAGTATAATACAAGGTCTATCCTTGAGGAGTTTACAGACCTCCCCTTGGTACATACATGTATCCACACACACGTATACACACAAAACCTCTTAAGCAATAAACACCTTCTAGGACCACATGAAGACTTTCTCTGGCCACAGGACCATTCCTGAAATCCTAGGGGAGCAGGCTTTGACCAGTGAAACACAGTTTTTTAAAAAGCCTAACTTCTTCATCCATCAGATGGAACAACTTTGGGACGTGTACTATAATTCCTCTAAGGTCATCAGCAAGAATGAGCCCCCGCTGCCCTGCACGGTCACTAGCTCACTGATGCATTTTTACTGGATTCTGACCCATCCTGCCCATCTCACTTCTCCACTCTCTGCCTACAACTTCCGGGAATGGGCTTTCCAACTAAATGACCTACACTCAAAGTTGGAGGCTGTTGGGAAATGGGATGGGTTCAAAAGAACTCCCACCAGGTTAGAGATGGCAGCAAATGACTACAGTTGCAAACTCTAACCCATAGATTCTGTTCCTGGACAGTGGTTTTGTGGTTTCTTGCATTATTTTCTATACAAAAGGGTAGAAAGTTGGTAGTGAGGTAGTCTTCACTTTCTTATATAACGTATATGAAAACATCTCAGTCAGGGTTCAGTCAGGAAGATGGAGTCCATGTTAGGGTTTTAATAGAATGTATTTTACACCGGGAACTAGTTGTGAAGGAGCTGGAGAAATGAAGTGGCCAAAATCTGGGGTGAGACAATGCAGAGATTTGCAACAAAAAGAAGCTGCTATCCAGTTCTCAAGATGTTACTGTAGATCTGTGGTCCAGAAAGTCTGCTGCTAGGTATGTAACCAAGAAAACTGAAAACAAAGATTCA